TCCGGCCTGGAGGACTCGAGGACGCGCCCCCGGGGCCTACCTCAGCGACTTCTTGTGTGGCCACTGCGGACGGGTCAGGTGTGGACCTTCCGTGGGCGCCAAAGAGGGGTCCCAGCGCACTTCCCGCGTCAACCCGACCCCTGCGGTCCCCGGGGCGTGACCGTCATACCCCTGCGCTGACCCCAGGGGCCACCTGATTGGGAGTGTCCGCCGCCATCAGCGCTTTGGCGAAGGTGACATTGAGCCGCCGGACGCGCCGCTCAGTGTAGGGGCGGGGGAGGTCCCTTAGTGTACCCGGGCACCGCCGCCCCACTTTTGATGAACACAATATGCTTCCTTGGTGGGACACAGTATACTTTTTTTTAATCAGGCATTTTCTCGGTTGGCGTTTTGTGGGTTACCTTCACAGACCGTTCTGTTAAATTTTAGAAACTGCTCTGCCACGATCTAATTCTTCCACGTGTGTGGTTGTTTCCTGAGGTCTGAAAGAGGCCATTACTGTTTCGAAAATGGGGTACCACGGTCCAGGAATACTGGGATCTACAGATGTGGGGAGGCTTTATTGTTTGCTTCAGGTTAAAGCCTGTTTGTTGGAGTATGAAATGCTTTGCTGATTCCTGTCTCTTATTTTTCCTTCTCCTAATATATGTGTTCCCAGTGACTGCCCAGCACTAGAATTTTAATTATTATAACCACAGTTTGATCTTGGTCCATGATGGATGTATATGCTACATCATTTAGCCCCTAACCATACATATTTTAACATATAAACTCACAAACTCAAAACTAATAAGGTTTGCTTGGCTATTTTGAGTGTTTTAAGTAGACATTTACACACCTAAGGAATATGTTTCCCTTCATTCAATTTAAGATTTTATCATTTATCATAGAATGGTAAGGCTGGCATGCACATCAGATCATGGAGACCATCTTATATTATAGAAGAAGAAACCAAAGCCCATCTTGGGAAACTGACTCCTTAACTAGTGGTAAAACAATTTTCTCGTTTTTAGTGGTAGAACAATTTTCTGTTTTGTGTTATTTTTGGCCCATCTGATGTTTATCAGGTTTTATAGTTCTTTATTCTTTCCTTATCTAAATGTGAAAGTAGCAAATACTATAATTTTTTCATATAGACACATTTGGGGAGGTTTTTATGACCTTCAAAAGAATTACTATATTTTGTGGCAGGTAAAGGAAAAGGCCAGAGGTTTCTGGCAAACTGTAAATTAAGGGGATTCTTTTTTTCTTAGTACCTTTGGACATAGTAGTTTATCTCCTAAGTGTTCTATTCCCACTCTTAGAGTTTAATTCGTAAACAGAAAGTTATATTTTAGATATTTGTCCCTTAGACCTAAATATTTGCCACAAGGAGTCAGTATTGTTTACGGTTGTGTCAGCTGCTTTCTAGCTGTGTGACCTTGGACACATTAGTTAACCTTAAGACTCAGTTGCCTCTTGGCTAAAATCAGGATATTTGGTTGTGATGTTTTAAGTGAGATAAAGTAACTCTTAGCACAGTGATGGCGAACCTTTTGAGCTCGGCGTGTCAGCATTTTGAAAAACCCTAACTTAACTCTGGTGCCGTGTCACATATAGAAATTTTTTGATATTTGCAACCATAGTAAAACAAAGACTTATATTTTTGATATTTATTTTATATATTTAAATGCCATTTAACAAAGAAAAATCAACCAAAAAAATGAGTTCACGTGTCACCTCTGACACGCATGTCATAGGTTCGCCATCACCGTCTTAGCACCTTGTCTGGCACTAACGCTTAATACATATTTGCTTTATTATACTGCATTTCATTTTTGCATATTATAGGTTGGGGTTTATCGGTAGAGACTGAAGAGGTTTTTATGCAATTGAAAGTTAGAAAAAATGAAGGTTCTTGGCCCTACCAGTTTGGCTCAGTGGATAGAGCGTCAGCCTGTGGACTGAAGGGTCCTGGGCTTGATTCTGGTCCACAGCACAAGCCCAGGTTTTGGGCTCGATCCCCAGTGGGGGGCGTGCAGGAGGCAACCAATCAATGATTCTCTCTCATCATTGATGTTTCTATCTATCCCTCTCCCTTCCTCTCTGAAAAAAAAATTTTAAAAATTAAGGTTCTTGCATGAGGTGCTCCAAGACCAAATGAGAGTATACTTGAAGGAGTTCTGAAAAGGTTAACCTGAGGGGGCCTCAAGTTTGCTCCCGTTAAGTAGCAACCCAAATACTATATTTGGTCCATGAAGAAGTCTCCAATTTTGAAACAGTTGTTTTCCAGGAACTGCTGAATTAGATCATTAAAATGTTTTAAACAACTACTAGATTCTCTAGTCAACCCTTAAAACTTACACAGTCCTGGTTCCTATATCCTTACCTTGATAATTTGGGAAGGGTGGGAGGAGTTTTCTTTTTTTCCTTTCTTGGTGCAGGGCTGAATTTAAGAGGTACCTTTTTTAAAAAAAAAAAAATTTTTTATTGATTTCAGAGAGGAAGGGAGAGGGAGAAAGAAATAGAAACATCAATGATGAGAGAGAATCACTGATCAGCTGCCTCCTACATACCCCACACTGGGGATCCAGCCCACAACCCAAGCACATGTCCCGACCAGGAATTGAACGAGATGTCACCTCCTGGTTCATAGGTCGATGCTCAACCTTTGAATCATGCCAGCCAAGGCTAAGTGGTACCTTTTATCACCTTCCCACTATATATATATCTTGAACAATTTGGTGCTCGACTAAGTTAACAGGAAAAATGTCTCCATGTGGAACAAAACTTCAGTTCTGCAAGGTGACAAAAAGCCTCTAGGAGATGACAAAAAGCGCCTCGTAGGCCACACACAAAGGAGAGAATGAGACTCAGTTTAGAGTCAGTTTACCGCTGAACCTCTTTGTTAACATCTTAGGAAATTGTACTGTGAATATTTTTATGTTTTTGTTGCTGGTGAAATGGACAGTTAGCACAATTTTAAAACATAAAGAGGCCATCAAGAATGCTAACATTGCCCAATGGGGTGTGGCTTGGTGTTTGAGCATTGACCTATGAACCAGAAGGTCAAGGTTCAATTCCCAATGGTCAGGGCATATGCCAGGGTTGTGTGCTCGATCCCCAGTGGGGGGCGTGCAGGAGGCTGCTGATCAGTGATTCTCTCTCATCATTGATTTTTCTATCTCTCTCTCTCCCTCTCCCTTCCTCTCTGAAATCAATAACAATATATTTTTAATGCTAACGTTGCTAAGGGTATGTAAGAAACAATGATCACAGGCAATTGAAGAGGTAGAAAAACTGTTGTTGATTTGTATAAATGAAAACAGCCCAACACAGCATTTTGGAAACAGTGATACATGAAAAAGTGAAGATGCTGCACACTGACTTCCTGAAAGATGCCCCTGGAACGAGTAGTAAAAGTGATTAGTTTAAGGCTAGAAGGGGGTGGTTCGATAAGTTTAAGAAAATAAATGTTTGTTTATAGATTAAACAATATATTAAATATGTACTGTATATAAGAAAAGCTTAAAACAATCACTTGGGAGTCTGGAACGAATTAATTTACATTATTTCTAACGGGGTGGAAGAGGGATCATTCGGTTTTCCAACAAATCACTTCTCAAACAGCCTTCTGGAACAAATAAAGTTTCACTGTACAACCAGTTTGTAATTTGGAACTCCCCAGAAGGAAGGTAAACAAATATTAAAGGTGATCCATTGATCTCCTTGACTGGGATTTGCAGCTGCTGGTCATCTTTTTCACAGTTAGAAAACAATACAAAGCTACCAGTCATCTGATGAATCCATGCCCAGCAGTGAGGAAAAGAATTGGTTATCATGAAACACTTTATGGTAAGAAAGATACACTTAATTAATAATTACCTCTGGGGAGAAAATACATATATTTCATTTTTCTTGGGTAAATATTTAGAAGTGCAATTACTGGATGATATGGTAGGTGTGTGTTTAACTTGATAAGAAATTGCTAAACCGTCTTCCAAAGTGATTGTACCATTTTACACTTGTGCTTTAAGTATTTAGTAAGGATAACTTTAGTTTTTGAAAAAGGTAGCTTATAAATTTTGGATAACAGCAGGTAGAAGCATTGTGATCTATGCTTTCTGATATATTAAATGTGAATATTAGTCCTGTATAGTTTTGACTAAATGTTTGTACTTGCCAAATACTTAGGTCTATAGATTCATTCTTTTTTCTTGTCATAGAAATTAAAGAGTATCCAATTCCAGCCCATTTATATACATGTCTCACTTCATTCTGGGCTCAGATTGTGATGGAAATTTAGGTCTCTGGTAAGATTTGGACTTGTGGGGGGTCTTCTGTGACTGATGGCAGGTATTTTGCAATAGGATCAAATGGTGATTTAAGTGAGAATCCTTTTGCTTGATCTAGCAGTGACATTCCATCTGAAGAACTGGCAAGTATTCCATCTTTTCACCTTTTTCTGGTTTCTTTTTTTTCTTATTTTCTTTCTATTTTTTGCACTTTCTCTTGCCAGTTACAGCAGTAAAGGTGTATCGGATATATTTGACATTTAAATTTCAGAATATATGTAGAGCCCCAAGGTTTCTGTGTAGTTTTATATATATATATATATATATATCTTTTCCATCACCCTTTATCCCCTCTATGCCCTCTTCCACCTCCACCCTCAACCCCCGCAATCACCGTGGTGTCTATGTCCATGAGTTTTCTCTCCTTTTTTTCTGTTTTGCTCAATTCTTTGTTTTTTTAATCCTCACCCAAGGATATTTTTCCATTTATTTTAGAGAGAGTGGTTAGGAGGGAGACAGAGAGAGAAACATCAATGTGAAAGAGTCACATTGACTGGTTGCCTCCTGCACATGCCCCAACCAGGGCCGGGGATTGAGCCTGCAACCGAGGTATGTGCCCTTGACCGGAATTGAACCCTGGAACCTTCAGTCCAAGGGCTGATGCTCTATCCACTGAGCCAAGCTGACTAGGGCAATTGTTCTTTTTTAATCTTTTGAGAGAGATAAGCATCGATTTGTTGTTCCACTTATTTATACATTCACTAGAGGCCCAGTGCATGAAATTCATGCACTCGTGGGGGGAGGGTCCCCTCAGCCTGGCCTGCGCCCTCTCGCAGTCCAGGACCCCTTGCTCCTTACCACCTGCCTGCTCACTGCTCCTTACCGCTCAGCTCACTGCTCCTTAGCACTGCCACAGAGATGGGAGAGGCTCCCGCCACCACCGCTGCGCTCGCAAGCTGTGAGCCTGGCTTCTGGCTGAGCAGCGCTCTCCCTGTGGGAGCGCACTGACCACCGGGGGCAGTTCCTGCGTTGAGCATCTGCCCCCTGGTGGTCAGTGTGCATCATAGCAACCGGTCGTCCCGCCATTCGGTTGATTTGCATATTAGCCTTTTATTATATAGGATTGGTTGATTCTTGTGTGTACCCTGACTGGGGATCAAACCCACAACCTTGACATATCAGGACAACACTCCAACCAACTATCCTACCTGGCCAGGGCGCACACATGTGTGCATGCATGCGTGTGTGGGGGGGGGTTGTTTTATTTGATAAGCCTTTAAAAATAACTAGACGCTATACCAAGCTTGTCTAATTCATCTAATAGAAAATACAATTTGAAGAATGTTTTATTTCTATAAATTATGATATCCATTAATAGAGGTCAGTTAAGACATTTTTAGACAAGGATCAATTTATAGTTGTCATTTATTTGCTACCTTCTACAAAGTGCCAAGTCCTAGACAGTGTTACCTGGCCTTCATTTTTATTTTTATTTTTTTAATATGTTTTTATTGATTTTCAGAAAGAGGGAGAGAGAGGGAGATAGAAACATCAATGATGAGAGAGAATCACACATGGACTGCCTCCGGCATGCCCCCTACTGGGGATCGAACCCGCAACCCAGGGCGTGTCCCCAGACCAGTAATTGAACCGTGACTTTCTGGTTCATAAGTCAACCACTGAGCATCTGCCCCCTGATGGCTTTCATTTTTAATCATCATAATCTGATAAGGTAATGGTATCTGCATTTTACAAATAAGGAAGATAAAACTTGCTGTTTCCTAAAACCCAAAGGTAAAATTTCCTTCTCCTCCATCCCTTACCATACAGAGGCTGTTTAGAAAGATTCTACATTTCCTAACTCCTAATTCAGTGTCCATTTGAAAGGCAGTAACTAAAATGGAAAGGCTTTTCATATGTACTACAAAGGGTATAATGATTGGGAGCAGAATGCTAAGTGAGTCTTGTTTTCTTGACACATATTTTAGTATCTCACTTAGAAATTTTATAGTGTTTTTTTAAAAATTACTATTGCTTTGTCAGGATGTATAATTTATTTTGGAATATAATTTAACTAGAGGCCCGGTGCACGAATTCATGCACATTGAAAGGAAATTAATTAGAAGAAATACTTTAGAGGCCAGGGAAGGACCACGGGAGGTTGGCTCCAGGGCATATCCAGCTCATCTAGATCAGGGCCATTAAAGCCAGGGAAGGCTCTAGGGCATGTCCAGCCCATCTCGCCCAGTCCCAATCGGCCGGACCCCAGCAGCAAGCTAACCTACTGCTAGGAGCGTCTGCCCCCTGGTGGTCAGTGCACGTCATAGTGACTGGTTGAACGGTCAGACATTTAGCATATTAGGCTTTTATTATATAGAATAGAAAGCATACAATTTTTTTTAATTTATGAAAAATATATCTTATAAATTAATTTAAGAACTAGAATGAAGCTCTGGCCAGGTAGCTCAGCTGGTTAGATCGAATACCAAGGTTGCAAGTTCGATCCCCAGTCAGGGCACATACAAGAATCAACGAATGAATCCATTAATAAGTAGAACAAATCAATGTTTCTCTTCCCCATCTCTCCTTTCCTCTTTCTCTTTCCCTAAAATCAATAAATGTTTTTAGATATTAAAAAAAAAAACTAGAATGAACATTATTTTGAATTAAGAATTAATACTCTGCTTATTGTAAAAATTCGGACATTTTGGAAGTGTCCAGTGGGTCCTCAGGTTACGTCGGAGATCTGTTCCTACGGTGTGATGGAACACAATTTTCGCCATAAGTCGGAACCCACCTACATAAGCACCTACGTCACTCACATGGAGCACATACACAGCAGTAATGAAGTGAAACAGTAAAAATAAAATAAAAGAAAGATAACAATTCCTGACCTTTACTTGTGGTAAATAAATAATAAAAAACGGGGGGCGTAATGGGGGGATAATAAGGACACTGTAATATCTTAATAAAGAAATTAAAATAAATAAATAACTAAATAAATAATAGAAAACATAAAGCACATATGTACATACGTCGAAATGATGGGACTTTTTTTTTTATAAATAAATGGGAGATGGCGACGTAACCATGAAACGACATACATCAAGTCCTACATAACCCGAGGACTGTCTTTATAAATAAATAAAGTTTTTCCTTCCAAAGATAACCAATGTTAACAATTGCAAGTTAGCATTACACATTGGGAGGCAAGGGGAGCATAAACATACACCTATAATACTCTGTGTTCTGCTTTTCTTTGTTTAATTTTTTTTAAAGATTTTTTTCATATCAATACATAAAATTTGTTTCATTTGACCTGCTGAGTAATTTTCCTACTGTGACATACAGTTGATTCAAAACTTAATGCACTGAATGTATTTAAATGCTACTGAACTGTACACTTAAAAATAGTTAAGATGGTAGATTTTATGTTATACTAGAGGCCCAGTGCATGAAATTCATGCACGGGTAGGGTCTCTAGCGGCTGCCAGCCGGGACCTCCCTTCGCACCCACCTTAGCCTTGCGCTGCCCACTCACCTGCTCCACCATCCCGCCGCGGTCCCACTCTTCGGGGCCCATTGGGGCCGGCAGTGCCTCCACTGCCGCCCGCTGCCAGCGCCACATTGCTGACACCCGCCATGTTCCACACCACCCCCTGGTGGTCAGCACATGTGTAACTCCCAGTCAGTCAAACTCCTGCAGCAGGGACAATTTGCATATTAGCCTTTTATTATATAGGATGTGTTTTAATGGGAAATGCAAACAAAAAAATATAACTTAATTGTATTAACAGGATATATTAAGTACTTCTGTACATTGAAGTTATTATTTCTCCATTGTAGGTATCCAGTCAGTTCGCTGCTACTCCCATGGGTCACATGAGACAGATGAGGAATTTGATGCTCGCTGGGTGACATACTTCAACAAGCCAGATATTGATGCCCAGAAATTGTGTAAAGGTAATTGTAATATAGATTGCTAAACAGTCTATTTTGACATAGAATTATGAACTGTTTTGTAGTCTTCTACTACTGTGTTAAAAGCAAAACATGCTTCATGTTAACCGAGTCCTCTCATGCAACTTGCAGTTAGAAAATATTATAGCCCTAACTGGTTTGGCTCAGTGGATAGAGTATTGGCCTGTGGACCGAAGGGTCCCTGGTTTGATTCCGGTCAAGGGCATATGCCCAGGTTGCGGGCTTGATCCCCAGTTAGGGGGCATGCAGGAGGCAGCTGGTCAATGATTCTATTTCATCATTGATGTTTCTATCTCTCTCTCCCTCTCCCTTTCTCTCCAAAATCAATAAAAATATATTTTAAAAAAGAAAAGAAAATAGTATAGCTTCCATAGTGTTTCCTGTAAAGCAAGGTTTTAAAGCAGGCATAGTGGTATTTAGGGCCAAATAATTGTTTGTTGCAAGGGCTGTCCTTTGCATTGTAACATGTTTAGCAGCATCCTTGGCTTCTACCCACTAGGTGCCATCCACTCCCATGCCCTCCACCCCCAATTATGACAACCAAATATGTTTCCTGGGGGACAAAATCACCTCTGATTGAAACCACTGCTATAATGTCAAGGTGAGCAAGAGTTAAATTTTGTATCTTTTAGATAATTTATACAAGTAGTTATTTGGTTCTTCTCCCCTCTTAGTTATAGTTTTGGTTTTTTGTTATTTTCATTCTCCATTATGATTTGTCTTGCCCTGAATAAGTGTCCAGTCTAAATAAGCTAGAACTTATTTTTCCTAAATTTGCAGATGTGCATTTAACATGAGTAAGTAGCATTAATGGTAACTAATCTTTCTTTTTCTTTTTTTAAAAATATATTTCTTCATTGATTTCAGAGAGGAAGGGAGAGGGAGAGAGAGAGAGAAACATCAGTGATGAGAGAGAATCACCGATCGGCTGCCTCCTACATGTCCCCCCACTGGGGATCGAGCCCGCAACCCAGGCATGTGCCCTTGGCCAGAATCGAACCCGGGACCCTTCAGTCCGCAGGCTGATGCTCCATCCACTGAGCCAAACCAGCTAGGGCTCTTTTTCTTTTTTTAAATGCATTTTTATTGATTTCAGAGAGAGAGAGGAAAAAAACATCAATGATGAGAGAGAATCCTTGATCAGCAACCCAGACATATGCCCTGACCTGGAATCAATTCACAACCCCCTGGTTTGTAGGTCAATGGTCAGCCACTGAGGCACGCCGGCCAGGTGATAACTAGTCTTAATAGTTAGATGTAAATAGCTTTAAGTGTAGGCAATTTATCTGAGACCAAGAGTTCAGCCTCTGTGACTATAGTCTAGCATTATAGTCACTGGTGTCCTTTGTTTAAATATTGTGTTATTTTGTTCAAAGCTCAAAGTAATCACGCCCAATTATTTTCTGGTTGAATGTTTGAGTCTGCACACTAATGTTTCTCTCTCTCTTTTTAAAAATATATTTTTATTGATTTCAGAGAGGAAGGGAGAGAGAGAAAGAGATAGAAACATCAATGATGAGAGAGAATCATTGATTGGCTCTTTCCTACATGCCCTCTAATGGGGATGGAGCCCACAACCTGGGCATGTGCCCTGACTGGGAATCGAACTGTGACCTCCTGGTTTATAGCTTGACACTCAGCCACTGAGCCACACCTACCAGGCTCTATATCTCTTTAATGTCTTCATTTGGGCTTCATTAACTCTCCTTTCGCATTTCTCTGGTTGTTTTTAGATTATTTTCCAATCAAATCTATTTTAAAGCAACCAACGTGCATACGTTGTACTACGAGTTAAAGATATGAGTTTAAAATGACCTTAATTGAAATGAAACCAGCAAATTATTATGAAAATAGTGTTTGCATCTAAGGAATTCTTTGGTTGGGTTTTTTGGGTCTTTTTTATTTCTTTTTGTTTTTTATTGTTTTCCTTTAATCTGTAGGATAGTGCATAGTTCTTTCCACTAATTTATTGTGGAAGAGTCATTATGATATTACCATCTGTTAAAAGTAAATTTGTTAAAAGTAGATTCTCTCATTGTATAGATAAGAGAATAGAGGCCTAATAGGTTCCAGGACCCAATTCCAATGTGTATATGTAGGCTTCCCTACATCAACAAACAAGTCTGGACGCCAGTAGGCTGTCCAAGAATTCAGTTCAGTGTGGCATTACTAGTATCTACCCTACCCAGAAGTAGAATCAGATTCCACAGGTAAAGAAATCAGTCTCACAAGACTACCCTGCACTTTAGAGGCTGGTTACAAGCCTAGGTTGTTCATCTGTGCTTCTGACCTACTGGCTACAAATCAGAAGTTCCCACCACCCCCTTCTCGGGTTCCAATGACTCAGAAAACTCAAGAAAACATGTTTACTCACTAGATTAACAATTTATACAAAGATTATTAAAAGATACAAATCAACAGCCAGATGAAGAGATACATAAGGTAAGGTCCCAAATGAAGGAGCTTCTATCCTCGCGGAGCTTGGAGCCCGGCACAGTGGCTCATGGAAGCATTCTAGTACCCCAGTGTGGAAGCTCTCTAAAAAAGGACCAAGGGACTGTCCTATGGTTTTTATGGAGGCTTCATACTTAGTCATGATTGATTAAGTCTTTGGCCATTGGCAATTAATTTAACCTCAAGCCCCTCTCTCCTCCCTGCATATCAGGAAATGGGAGTGAAAATTTCAATCTTCTGTCCACAGCGTTGGTCTCTGCTGGCATCCAACACCCACTCTTGGGAGTCCAAAAGTTATCTCCTTAATATAACAAGAGGCACCACTGTGCTCCCATCACTTAGAAAATTCCAAGGAAGGTTGGCGGTTCTGTGTCAGAAACAGACCAAATATATATTATAAATCACAAGATCATATGTCTATGTTTCAATAAAAATATAGATAACTAAATTATAGTTTAAGTGAGAATATTTCAGGTTGATATGGCCCCTCTTTTTAATTTGACAGGGATGAACACGCTTGTTGGCTATGATCTGGTTCCAGAACCCAAAATCATTGATGCTGCTTTGCGGGCATGCAGACGGTTAAATGATTTTGCTAGTGCTGTTCGCATCCTAGAGGTTGTTAAGGTCAGTGAAATAGTATTAAACTTGTTCTGGAAGTATGTGGTCTATTGACTAGGTATCAGTATATTCTTTATTTTTCAATTTGTTAAGATAACCTAAAATTAGTTCTTATATAACTAGAGGGAATTTACAATGCAGTTAATAATTTTTCTGGAATAAAATTTGACAGAATTTATCCCAGGCCTGAAAAATTGTGCTTGATACTCTTTTGTTCAGCACTTCCATTTAAGAATTTATCTTAAGTATGTACAAAGGTTTAACTATAATTTATCTTTGTGCTATTTGTGATAGGAAATTAAATGCTGTTAGTAGTTTCTTAAGATGAGACTTTCCAGAAGTGGTTATTACACAAATGTGTTTAACGTTAAACATATTTACATTAAACATATTTATTGCATATTACCTGAAGAAAATTATGAGATAATTTTTGTGGTGTGACCCCATTTTATTAAAATACATATAGATGAAAATGTAGGTGGACATATTCTCCCTGTTGTTTAATTATAGTTTTTGTTTTTTTATAATTGCAAATTAAATACATTACATTTTAAGTAAGAACTTTATAATTTAAAAAATATAACTAAGGAGACTTAGAATTTGTTAAAGGCAGGAGAATAGCAGTTTGGCAGTATCTTAGTCCATTTGACTTTTTAATATATGTTATGGTGAATATTCATGAAAACTCTCTTACCCTGAAAATAAGTATTCTCTAAGTGTATCTCTCCATGAAAGAATATGGAATATAAGAAAGAAATTCAAGGTCTGTAAAAAAGAAAGTGTGAGATTACTTTATCTACAATGGATAAGATAATTTAGGGTTCTGTAGGCTGTCAATTCATTCAGCACCAGTAGTTAATTCAGTTAGGGTCTCAAATTAGAAGCAAATGTAAAAACTTTTCCTCTGTTAACTTAATTATTCCTATTGCCTGCTGGGCATGTTTAATTACATTCACAAAATTCTGTCATCACCACCTTGTTTTCCAATAACTCAGGCTTTGAAAAAAAATATTTCTGGATTTAGTTATTTTCAAAGTGTTTTTAAAAACCTACCTTGACTACTGCCCACAAAGTTGCTCTCTTTATTGAACAAATATGTTAACTTAAAAGTAGCCTCTGCATATGTGATTAAAAGCATTTTCAAGTTCATTTTGTAAATAGATAAGGCTTCTCAGAGAGCTAAATGTGAATTTTCTTTTTTTTGCCATCAGGACAAAGCAGGACCGCATAAGGAAATCTACCCTTATGTCATCCAGGAACTTAGACCAACTTTAAATGAACTGGGAATCTCCACTCCAGAGGAACTGGGCCTTGACAAAGTATAAATCCCATCGGTAAGCAACATACCACTGAATAAAGCAGGAAAAAATCCAGGGAGATGTGAATGAGTGACATTTCAGTGTTCTCAGGAATGTCTTGTTAGAGGCTGTAAGCATAGAGATTTAGAGTACCAATGATAACTTTAAGGAGCTAGGATTGTTATTTTTTAGTTGTTATAATTGTTCTCTTACTGGTATAAAGGCAAGTAGAGACCTCCTTTACAAAAAAATCTATATAAAATATTTTAAGCATAAATAGCATAGAGAATAAATGTAATCACACCCAGATTTTCGGATATTATTATTTTGCCATATTTGCTTTAATCTCCTCCCCTCTATCCCACCAAGAAATTATTGGTTTCACCTAGAGTTCAAGCCCTCTGGGTACCCTTCCCTCATTCCAGCCCATTAACCTCCAAAAAACTAAAGATAGTTCACTGCATTCAAAATGTTTATCATGTATGCTTTTTAACATGTGGTTTGTTGTTGTTGTTTTTATATTTTTATTGATTTCAGAGAGGAAGGGAGAGGGAGAGATAGAAGTATCAACGATGAGAGAATCATTGATCAGCTGCCTCCTGCACATTCCCTATTGGGGACCAAGCCCAAAACTTGGGCATGTGCCCTGACCAGGAATCAAACCGTGACCTCCTGGTTCATAGGTTGACGCTCAACACCTGAGCCACACCAGCTGGGCAACGTGTGTTGTTGTTTTTTGTTGTTGTTTTTTTAACAGTAGGGTTTTATTAATTTGATGCTTTTTTGTGTGTGCCCAGGTTAGAATTTAATAGTCAAGTAAATTTTCATCAATAATAAAAACTTATTCTCTATGGAAAACAGATTAGGTAACAATTAGGTTGTCTAGGTAGTGAGCAGTGTGCAGAAAATCCTTTGTAAAACAGAAAATATGAAAAGCAATAATTCATATTTTAATTTTATTTAACAAACATGTATAGTGTATATAATTCTTTTTTGCTAATCCTCACCCGAGGATATTTTTCCCATTGACTTTTTAAAGAGAGTGGGGGGACACATCTACTGGTTGCCTCCTGCAGGTGCCCAAATCCAGGGATTGAACCTGCAACCCAGGTAGGTGCCTTTGAAGGGGAGTGGAACCCAAGACCCTTTGGTGTGCTGACCGAAACTAACCACTGAGCACACTGGCCAGGGCGGTGTATATAATTCTTGACGTGTGTCAGGCACAATTTATATATATTAAATTGATTTCAGAGAAGAAGGGAGAGAGAAGTAGAAACATCAGTAATGGGTGAGAATCATTGATCAGCCATCTCCTACATGCCCCTTACTGGATCGAGCCTGCAACCCCAAGCATGTGTCCTGACCAGGAATTGAACCATGACCTCCTAGTTCAGAGGTGGATGCTCAACCACTGAGTCACACCCGCTGGGCTCAGGCATAGTTTTAAATGCTATATAAATAGTAGCTCATTTAATCCTTATAAACAATCCTGTGAGGTGGTTACTATTATTATACAGTGGGGCCTTGACTTACGAGTGTCCCGACTAACGAGTTTTTCGAGATAGGAGCCGTCTCTTGGCCGATTTTTTGCTTTGAGTTGCGAGCTAAAATTCGGGTTAAGAGCCAGCTTCAGATACCCCACCCCTAGTTGGCACAGCGAACGGTCACAGTGAACGCCACAACATCAGCCCAGCATCACGTGTCTCACTCGTTCACTTTTTGATTTGACATACGAGTAATTTGAGTTACGAGCTCCGTCACGGAACGAATTAAACTCGTAAGTCAAGGCCCCACTGTATAATAATAGTAACCACCTCACAGGATTGTTTATAAGGATTAAATGATTTTTAGAAAATATTTTATTGATTTTTTACAGAGAGGAAGGGAGAGGGATAGAGAGTTAGAAACATCGATGAGAGAGAAACATCGATCAGCTGCCTCCTGCACACTCCCTACTGGAGATGTGCCCACAACCAAGGTACATGCCCTTGACTGGAATCGAACCTGGGACCCTTGAGTCCACAGGCAACTATTTATTTTATTATTTATTGATGAGCAAACTGAGGCACCTTGTCCAAAGTCTACATTTAAACCCAGGCAGACTGGTTTCAGAGTTCATTGCACCCACTATGCCACATGTTCTGTATAAGCATTTACTAAGGCCATACTCTTCTCAGAGGTAAAAAATGAGACTTAAATAAAAGTAGACCCAAAGTTATTTTAGGAGCTATTAAATATCCTACTGACAGACTAAGCAGAAAATGTAATCCACTTTGGGGCTTGTTTTTTGGAGCATACGTCTTAATTTTTGTTTTTGTCCACAAACACCACCTCCCTGAATTCAGGTAGCTCATCTTTATAATATATGGAAAGTTTTTGTATGGTATTAAACATTTCTGTGAGTACTTGGAAAAAATTAGGTATTTAGAACAGAGGATGTCATAGTTATATATATATATATATATATTTTTTTTTTTTTAATGGATATTTTTTCCATTGATTTTTTAGTGAATGGAAGGGAGGGGTAGAGACAGAGATAAACATTGATGTGAGAGAGACACATTGATTGGTTGCCTACCGCACAGGCCTGACTGGGGCTGGGGATGGAGCCTGCAACTGAGGTACATGCCCATGACCGTAATCAAATCCTTGGGCCAACGCTCTAACCACTGAACAGACCGGCTAGAGCCCTAGTTATATTTTCAAAGCTCTTATCTGTGGTTCATATTTCACAATGGATTCTTAAAAGGTTGTCTAAACACTTGGGCTTAATTTTTATTTTATCAAATACTAGAGGCCTGGTGCATGGACCCCAGTGGAGTCCCTCAGCCTGGCCTGTTTCCTCTTACAATCTGGGACTCCTTGGGGGATGTCGGACTGCCAAGTTTCGGCCTGATCCCCACAGGCCAGTCTGAGGGACCCAACCGGTGCATGAATCCATGTACTGGGCCTCTAGTATGCATATAAAATCTTTGGTTAATCTCTTCCTGCCCTCCCCCCTTCCCTCTGAGATTCATCAGTCTGTTCCATGTTTCCATGCCTGTGCATTGAGCGTCTGCCTCCTGGTGGTCAGTGCACATCATAGCTACCAGTCGAACAGTCCAACGGTTGCTTAGGCTTTTATATATCTATATATAGATAGATTCCTGCAAGAAATCCAGAAGAATCTTTGTTATAGAGGATGTATTCTTGCTACAGTAACATGTTTCTTTAAAGATTTCTATCTTTACTTTATTACCTGGCTAATTCTTCATGTTTTCTCTTACAGATAGGATTCCCAAGGATTTACTGATAATACTACTTGAGTGTAAACAATCTCCTGGAAATACTGATGACAACATATTACCTTATTTGAACAAGTTTTCCTTTACTGAGTACCAAACCATGTCATGGTAACTTGAATGTTAATAAAAAGGAAATAAGTTTGAACTGAAATTAGGTATTGTTCCATGTGTTTGCATTGAAGAGCAGAAAATGAACTATTTATTATAGGTCCATTGTGTCACAGTTTTGTTATCCCCTTATGTGCTGAGAGAACTTTAATTTTCTGGAAGTCATTGCTATATAAACATATTTGGGTACACTGACTGGTAAAATAGCTAAAGGCTAAAAGTCATTTGTATAGAACTAGAGGCCTGGTGCATGAAATTCATGCACTGGGGGGCGGGGTGTCCCTCAGCCCAGCCTGCACCCTCTCCAATCTGGGACCCCTCGGGGGATGTCCAACTGCTGGGACATCCCTCTCACAATCTGGGACTGCTTGCTCCTAACCACTCACCTGCTTACCTGCCTGATTGCCCCTAACCACTTCTGCCTGCCAGCCTGATCACCCCCTAACCACTCCCCTGCCAGCCTGATTGATGCCTAACTGCTCCCCTGCCAGCCCGATCGCCCCCAACTGCCCTCCCCTGCTGGCGTGATGGCCCCGAACTGCCCTCCCCTGCAGTCCTGGTTGCCCCCAACTGCCCTCCCCTGCAGTCCTGGTTGCCCCCAACTGCCCTCCCCTGCCGACCATCTTGTGACAGTGTGGGTGCAGCCATCTTGTGATGATGTGGGGAGGCCATCTTGTGACGACATGGGGCAGCCATCTTGTGGCAACGTGGGTGCGGCCATATTGTGATGATGTGAGGGCATGAGGGTCAATTTGCATACCTACTCTTTATTATATAAGATTTCCTTGTTGATAGGGCCAGCAAACCCTGGGCTTAGGGAATTGGTGTGTAAAGTTTAAAAGTGGTCATTGAGATAGTCTTGAGGATGTGCTGTAGGGTTGCCAGCCCTCTGTTAGTGCTCCTTTCCTTCCCTGCCAGGTATTCCCTGACAGTGTGGTACTAACTTTAGACATCAAAGAATTTGCTGTTGTAGATTTGGAGGCTTTCTCCTTAAAGAACTGAGTACATGGGTTTACTTCTTGAGAGAATTAATAAAATAAACAAATCCTGTCTTTAGAAGCCCCATAATACTGGATATTCACTGCTGAATAAAGAGGTTCTAGGACTGAGTGACTTCTACTACAGCCAGTTCAGACTGCAGTGTCCAGGGAATAGGGTTAATGTTCAGGTGAAATTTTTTTTTTTTTATCATTTGTATCTTTACACTTTTATTTTACTATATAATTTTTTTTAATCTGGAAAAGTGAAAATAAGATTTTTCTTTCAACATGTTCAAGTTTATGCCCCAATCTCATTATCACAGAATATGCTGTTATACAGTGTGGAAAGTATAAAAATGGGGAGAAAACCCATAATCACACCTGTAAATGTTAATTTTTTTTCCATTTTTTAAAAAAAATTAAATTCTTTATTCTTTAAAGTATTACATAAGTCTCCTTTTTCCCCCATTGACCTCTCTCCGTCCACTCCCACCCCCCCAGCACATGCCCTCACCCCCAACTGTTTATGTCCATTGGTTATGTTTATATGCATGCATACAAGTCCTTCGGTTGATCTCTTACCCCCCACCCCACCCTTCCCCAGCCTTTGCTCTGATGTTTAAGGGCCTGTTAGATGATTCTATGACTCTGGATCTATTTTTGTTCATCAGTTTATGTTATTCACTAGAGGCCCGGTGCATGAAATTCGTGCACTAATTCCTTTTTTACAGCAGCATAGTATTCCATTGTATAGGTGTACCATAGTTTTCTAACAGTTGAAATTTTGATGTCTTTTCTCCTAAAACGGTTGTAAGGGAATGTTAGTAAATGTTTGGGTAAGATTTTAACAAATAACCTTTTATAAAAGGCTGACTCCCTACCAAAAAGCTCCCTTTCCCCTACTTTAAGAAGTATAAATGTGAAATAAAGTAAAACAGCGTCATGCATCTATTTAATGTGTAGTTAGTAAGCCATAGTTAGGTTTGATACCTCTGCGGGGCAGTTCTTTTCCTCTCATAATGTCCCAGTCTCTCCTGCTCTATTTTTCCTCCAGATTCCTCCCGTGATGAATATCAACATAGTCCTGCCCTCATAAATCCTAGAGACTGGGAGGCATGGGGGGCGGGGGGGGGGGATGTTAAACAGAATAATCAGAGATATAAAAATGTCATGGCAGATTTTAAAAGTTCTGTGAATATACATATGGGTACTGTGAGAAAGGGAATGATATTTAAGTTGAAGCCTAAAGAATTGGGAGTGTTTGTTTATACAGGGCTTTAGCTAAAAGGTAATTTCATTTGTTTGTTTATACTAAAGACTTTATTTCAAACAAAAAATTGAGAGCTATTTCTCTGGGTGTGGGGAAGGGATTAGGGCAAGGAATTCCCCGTGGCTAGGCCAATACCGTCACATACTGGAGGGGTTGTGTAACTCTCTTCCTGGCCCCTGTGATTGAGAATCTCAGCAAGTGCAGGACCCTATGCCATAGCTCACCCACCAAGGGGAACTCAAGCTAGGAGTCAGTATCTGGAAAGAGCATGGCCAAAGGCAAACCACAAGATCAAGTCCTAAGTACTAGGAACCCACTCTTTTCCCCCTTCCTAGGACCCAGAACAGATTAAGAAGATGGCCTTTGGAGCTCTGGCTGGTTTTCTCAGTGGTTAGAGTGTTGTCCCAGGGACCAAAGGGTCTTGGGTTCAATTTCTGGTTAAGGGCATGCATCTCTGTTGCAGGTTCAATCCCCAGACCTGGTTGAGGCATGTGTGGGAGATGACCAATCCATGTGTGTGTATCTCTCTCTCCCCTCCCCCCTCCCTCCCACTCTTTCTCTAAAAAATCAATGAAAAAAATATCCTCAGGTGAGGATTAACAACAACAAAAGAGATGGCCTGTGGAGAGAACCTCTCAGATCCTGGTGAGAAGAAAGACCCAATGTCCTCACATTTATCACCTCTGTTCTAGGAGGGCACTAAATCCTGGAGTCTCTCAGGTGGTAGTACTGGCACCAATGGAGGCAGGGAAACCCCAGCAAGTCTGGACCCTAAGGCTGACTCTCCCACCCTCTGGAAGAGTCTGCACTCACCTGTGATCCTTTGTATTTCTTGCCTTCCATTTCCCTTGGGTGGATGGGTGGATAAATTAGGATTCTTGAATAAGGGCCCTCCAGGAGGGTCCCCTGAATGCCCATCAATCCAGGGCCTGAGAAAGGATGGTGTCACATGATGTTTGGCGCTGATAGCTGCTCCTGTCATGCTCATGTGGAATCTCTGAGGTTATGGATGGTGCTGGAGCCCTGGAAGCAAGGAAGCTGAGAACTTTGCTGCATGATCTCCATGATTTGTACCACTTTGTCCTTGTGTTTCCAAGCAGCAATCAGCCCCTGCAGCATCCACATCTTGTAGTAGTGAATATGTCACCATTCAGGCTGCCTATGTCTATAAACTCTGTGGTCAGCTTAAAGGCTGACATCACAAAGCTCAGGTTTCAGGGAGTGCTGGACAGGATGAAGCCAAAGTTGATGTGAATGATGTGGCCTTCTGCGTCCAAAAGGATGTTCCCATTGTGTCTCTTTGACTTGCAGCAGGTAGTCAGCTCAACTTTGCATGAAATTGTGCTGGGCACTAAGGAATGCCTCTGGTGTAACTGCCATGCTCCTGCAGGAAGTAATCGGGCAAGGAGGGCTGTCTGTTTCTTTCCCTGGTAGATGAACAGTGTTGACCACTGGTCCAATCACGCTACTGTCCACAGAAATCACAAGAATCTTGTGTGGCTTGATCCACAGGGGCACTTGTCCCTGTTCCCAAATGGACTGCAGTTGCTTCAACAGCTGGAAGGTCAACAGTTCCTTCCCAAAGATCATCTCCCATACTTGACAGTGACTGATAGAACTCCCAATTAGGGAGATGGCCATAACAGACGCCCTCTCTGATCACCTCACTTTTTTCTGCCAGGGTTCTTTGAGAGCAACTGTAGAAGGGTCTTATGGGTCTCATTTGAAGGCGGGGGGTGTGAACCAGCTGCTCTGAAAGGCACTGTCGTATGTACCCTGCTGCAATGAACACAGGCTCCTTGCTCTATTGGATGTTATTGTACACAGAAAACATACTGTCTCAGCTGTTGGTGTGCATTCAAGGAGCTCCACCTGCAGCTCCCCTATGTTGTTCACTAACCAGGCCTCATTATTCTTTTTCTTTTTTTAAATATATTTTTATATATATTAGACAGAAACATCAATGATGAGAATCATTGATCAGCTGCCTCCTGCACGCCCCCTACTGGGGATCAAGCCCAAATCCTGGGAATGTTCCCTGACCGAGAATCTAACCATGCTGGCATTCATAGGTCTACACTCAAACACCAAGCCACACACACTGCCGGGGCTCATCATTCTTTTTTTTGTTTTGTTAATCTTCACCTGAGGATATATTTCTCCCATTGATATCTAGAGAGAGTGGAAGGGAGGGGGAGAGAGAGAAATGTCAATGTGAGAGACATTGATTGGTTGCCTCCTGCACGTGCCCCGGTTGGGGATTGACCCTGCAACCCAGGTACGTGCCCTTAACTGGAATCAAACCCGTGACCCTTCTGTCTGAAGGCCAACACTCTAACCACTGAGCAACTGGTTAGAGCAGGCCTCATCATTCTTGTCATAGTGGGAAACAGTATTGAAACTGCCTGCCTCCTGCTCATGGGAGATACTGAATTGGGCAAGTTTTCTACAGAATGTGTGTCCCGGATTCAATTCTCAGGAATTGGTGGGGACATTGGTGGTGTCGAAGTTTTTGCATTCAAGGACTTCCACATAGATCAGGTAGGGAGTCTTGTCTTTGGAGTTGAGGACAGGATATGGTCAATGTGGTGGCCAAAGCCAGTAGTGGGCAGTGAGACTCAGGGAGCTCACAGTTGAACAGGGAGAGCTCTGAGATCAGCCACTGTGTTTTCTGCTCTTTGGAGGAAGGGGTGGGGTTAGGGGTGGCAATTGCCGTCAGGAATTTGATGAATTCTCAATAAGGAGCC